TTGGGTACATGTTTGTAGACGTATAAACGCCTACGTAGCAATTAGAGCTGGCACGCGTGATGCGTGAGGATCGATCGTATGTCCGGCTGTCCTGTTTGTATACAGGCTGCTCGTTTTTTCTCTTTTTACTTTAGAGCTACAGTTTCGCCGACCGCGCTCGCAGACGGATTACAAAATCAATTCATTTCGCGTCCCCAGTTACTGTAGTCGGGTTTTTTCATTTTGTTTTGCTTTCAATGTGTCCAAACTAGGAAACATTTTTGAAGCTCAAAATTGAATTTTTATTTGGTTGAGTTACAGTTGTGTCGATTCATCATAATCTTTTTAAAAATTAATACATTTATATGTTTTAAACGATAACAATTATTGTTTAATAGTGTTCTCTTAGTATATAATCCTATTCATTTTTTGTAAAATTTTGTTCAATGCTAGTCACTACAAACTTATACTATCTCTATGCTTATCCAACGTCTAGAAACGTAGTTTCTTTTGCTCTAATTTTTGGTGGCCTCACACGGCACGTTTCCATTCAAGAATACGCGTATCGCGTCACGTCAACAAATCTGTAATCGGTTCCAAAATGAATGAGTTTTATCTTTGGACTATCAATAAATTGTTCTCTATCGCATTACCTCATCGAGTCCCATCGATATAAGATTGTTTCTTGTAACCAAAAGTACAAATTCAAATTAGCACTTAGCGTTTCGATAACTCTTTTATAATGCGAACAGCTAGGGACTGGAATTCGCTGCCTGCTGCTGTCTTTCCCGATCACTATAATCCGGACCTTTTGAAGTGAATAGGCACTTACAGGGCAGATATGTACCATCCTAGACTGCATCTCACTTAACACCAGGTGCGATTTTGGTCAAACCTGCCTTGTTATGCATAGAAAAACATTTTCGCACCACGCTGTACACTGACGGCCCTTTTATGCATATGCAGTGTATACAGCCAGGGTGTCGTGTCCACTGCGAATGCAATATGCAGGCGAGTGACGTGAGGCGGCATGACGCGACAATGACGGATGCCCGGACAAATCCACTTAGGCCGGTTAGTTTTCACTTTGACGGGGTAATTTTGAAGATAACATTATTGGATTATGGAATGCCGTTGGGAATGGGGAAAATTGAAAATTTTAATAATGTCATTTAAAAATAGAAACACTTTTCCGTACTAGTCTTTTGCTTCAGCTGCGTTTGCCAGGGATTTAGCTTATAAAAGAAATACAATTCCGGATTCTTACCTCAAATGTGTAATAACTAACTTCTTCTTCTTCTATCTTTCACTTCATACATTACTTCCGAACTTTTTTCGTTGCGCATTAAGTTAAATTAACCGGCGCTAGTTAGAATTTAAGTGCTGTTAAAATAACACCTGACATCATAATGAGGTGGTAACGTGTGAAGCCTACGTGTGACCTAGGTCGAGAATCATAAACTACCTACCTAGGCTTATATTACGAGATGATCTAACCTAAGAGGTAGCATCTCTGATATGTGCTACCCTACCATTAACCAACTGTCAAACTACACATGTAATGCAAATAAATTATTTGATTTGAGGTGTAGTCCGTGTAGTCTCCTCTCCATCATCACCTTCGCCGCCTTCATATTGGCTTTGATCACTTTTTGCTCAGGGCGTCGACACCGCTACATTTTAGATCTCACGGAAAATAGTCTTTATTTACCTAAGGTTCATATACCAACTAGATGATCTAACTAATATAAATATACCTTCTTCACCATCATCATCTTCGCCGCCTTCACAGCGGTTTTGATCACCCGCGTTCAGGGCGGCGACACCGCTACGTGCCGCTACCGGGCGATCAATAAAATCCACCGTTACACTGTTATCGGACGTGTCATGCTGACGATCGATCATGCACGTCAGCCTGGATCGACACGGAGGATGGGGAACTCCCAATGTTACATTTTAGATTTCATGGAAAAAGGTACAATGTTTGGCTTTCTGCTTCGAAATTTTAATTTTTAGCTTTTGAATGCGGCTTCACTCACGTGACTTAATAGTCACGCGATAGACTAATGTCTGTCACGTAAAGATGATCGCGCGCGTTTATCCCTTACAACAAATATCCCATGTTTTTATCTAGGACTCTACTAAACTTGATCTAATTCGGTTCAGCCGTTTTATCGTGAAAAACATCAAAGTCGTATGTAGGAAAAACTTTCTTCTTTCTGAATCTTTTCCCTCTTGTTAGCCAACTAGAAGCCATCTCGCTAGCAAACCCTAGTCACGTCTCAATGCAGAATACCGCTTCTGAAGCACTAACCCGGCTTTTTTATGGGAAAATCTGTACACTCCAATGTCCAAAGTCCAAACCAACTTTAGGATAAAAATAAGGTGCATTTTATGTACGTTACTGTCTTGAATTCTTGTGTGCTCCACCAGGGACTCAAATCAATAAAATGCAATGTCTGTAAACAACCAACACTGAACAGCTGAAGTCAGGCAGGTGCATAGTCTCAGAAGCATTAATATGGTTTTTTATAGTTCTACCAGTAACTAGAGCCAACTCAAACTCACTACTTCTGTTCTTGGGTGACTCATCAGGGAACTGAACCTGCAAAAGTAATGTTGTCACGTAGACACAAAGTCAAGCAGAGTGAATCCAAAATGTAGCCTTCGAAGTATTCTTTCGGATTTTTATAGATCAATGTTTAGACTGCAAAACTGCAAACAAAATTTCCAGTAAACCTCAGATTGCTTTCTTTGCTACGTGAGCGCCACCTGGGAATCAAATCTCGGAGTGTAATACTGAAATACAGTGTTTGTCACGTAGGCATAACATATCCTGAATTGTAAGACTTCAGTGTAGCCTTCGAAGAATTCATTCCGATTTTTATAGGCCAATCTTTAAACTGAAAACCAAACCTCAAATTGCTTTCCTTACTACGTGTGCAGTGCACACTGTGCACCCCACCTGGGAATCGAATCTCGGAACGGAAAGCTGAAATACAGTGTCACGTAGATAACAAACTGAGTCGCAAGTGACTTCAAAATGTAGGTTTCCAAGTATTCATTCTGAATTTTATTGGTCAATGTTTAAACTGCAAAAGTGCAACCAAACCTCAAGCAAATCTCGAACTGCTTTCAGTCCCACCTGGGAATCGAATCTCAGAAAGGAAAGCATATACAGTGTCACGTAGACACAACAAACTGTGAGTCACGCCGAATCTCGGCGTGCGTGACTGCGGTCGGCATTTAGTTATATCGCGCCACGATCGCCATATCGCAATTAAATATTCATTATGACATGTCCAGGGCTGTCGCATATGACTGGTAAATTATTTGTTGTTTATTAATTAAGTTAAAATATTATATGCGTAACTTGGCGCAAAATAGTCTGCGTTGTCATTTGCTATCTAGATAGTACTATACTAAAAACCTACTTCCAGCTGATGTCTCTAAAATAAAATTAGGCAGGCTACTTTAGACAAACCTTTCTTTTCACTAAGTAATGACGAGAATAGAAATAGTGACTGAGTTTCTTGCGCTGCTTCTCAGCACTGACCCATTTATTGTCCCGAAGCAGGACTAGGTTAATACTGGGACATGTAAAAGTGCTTTTTAAAAGTCTTTTTGCAAAAATAAAAGAATTTTATGAGTTTTTTTATCATGTCGTGTCTAGGAAATCTTGTTCTAAAACGCGGAGAACATAACCCAGTTATTCATAACTACGTAAGAGTATGTTTAGTGGATTTATTCATATGACGTGCGCGTTCCCGAATGACGCTGACCTCGCGCCGACATTCAGGTTGACCACACAAGTTTGCGGATTGAACTCGGCTGATGTGTTTGCATTTCCATTAGATTAATGGCTTTTGGATACGTGACCTGAAATCGTACATTAAAATTGGTTTTTGACTAGACTTTCCAAATCTAGAGCATTTATAGGTAAATATTAAAACTACGTCTGTAGTAGATACTACATAGGTTTAGAAAAATATTTTTGATTAAGCTATTTGAAGTAATAACGCTTTGCTTTAATTACCGTTATAATTATATTATCAAATTAGAATGATACAACCTGAAACAAATTCATGCTATTTAAATATGACCCCGATTATTGTCACAAATCTTTTATCGATTTTACAAATACGTGTAAACGACTTTAGTTTGTTGATCCTCTTTTGTCAAATTGAAATGAATGAATGAATCGAATTGAAAATTGTATTACTGGAAGAGACGGCTAGAGCTGAATGCTTCCAAATCTTTTTTTTTTGCTTTTCGAAGTAAAGCATCGATCTTTTATGTATTTAACACTTTAGTTATTCATAAGTGCCAAAATTGAACAAATATTTTTGATTTGATTTGATTAGAATACATCGTAAGTGTTTGAGGCAGCCCTACTTATTTCTGGTCTTCGGGGCTGAACGCGCCCGTCCATTGTCGGGTAGTTGCGTCTCGGCTGACTAAATGTCGATGTTGCATGCTATCGCTATCTGATAGGGAGATAGCGGTTCTGGGCTGCTGACCGTTTGGATACCTACCCGCTTTCAATTCGCCTGAATTGAGGCAGTTTGCTGCCCGATTTACTGGCGAAAAGTCAGGGACCATGGGAGGAAAATGTTTGCCTTGAGTTTTTGAAACCTAATGTGACAATAACTGAAATGACTTGTAAATGCCTGAATTTCATTCATTGATAGGTACTTAGGTCGATTGCTATGGCGTTTACTGCAGTCAAAGTCATCTGAATACCCTTAGGTTGATTGAGTGGCTTCTGAATGGTGAAGACCATCATTGCAAATTATTGTTACTTAGATAAACTTCTCATCATTTCGACCTCATGATTCGAGTTAGGATGTTCCAGATATGTTTACTGTTGGTGTTTTCTTCTGTGAATTTTCTCATTTCAAGTAATGACTTGTTTGACTGTCTATTGATTCCCAATACTGTGCCTTTGGTGTATGTTATACTAATTAGGAACTAATTGTGTTGATAATTTGACGTTGCTAACCGATCTCTTTCTCCCACAGTGACGCGGGCATGGAGAAGGCCAAGGCGTACATAAAGAGCTCGCTCGGCGCGCCGAAACCGGCGTCGCCGTCGCCGTCGCTGGACAAACCGGCGGCGGCGGCGGCGGCCACGCCGGACGACGCGCGCGTCTGCTTCGTCTGCGGCGGCAGCGGACTCGGGGACCAGTACACCGTCCGGGTGAAGCCTGACCCACAGGTAAGGGTGGTTCTGGTTAGAGCAGTATTTTTCAACCTGTGGGTCGAGACCCCCAGGCTACTATGGGGGGTTGCGAGAGGGCGTAAAACTACTTCAGTAAAAAAAATCTTAAAGACCGATTATTCCGAAATCTTATTATGCAAATGTTGTATGGATTGAAGTATTTGGTCCCTACAAACATCTTTGCAAAATGCATGAAAAAAAAGCGAACGGTCGGGGGTCGCCAAAAATGTTTTCATACTAGGGAGGTCGTGTCATGAAAAAGGTTGAAAAACACTAGGTTAGAGTGATCATAAGGGTGACCACAAGGTGGACCGATGACCTCATAAAAGTAGCAAGAAGGCGCTGGATGCAGGCCGCCACCAACCGGCCATTGTGGAAATAATTGTGGGAGGCCTACTATGTTCAGCTGTGGACGTCCTATGACTGAAATGATGATGGTGATGATGATCATAAAGGGTTTAGTAGCAGGAGACAGAAGTGACCTATTTACTGACCTAAATTCTACCCCCAATACATTGGACGAGATAGCTTGTGTGATAAAGCTGTAATCTATCTTTGGTTAGGGCTAACTAAGCCAATCATAATTAAGGCTGGGGCGCACCATCTTACTTTAACTAAAACAAACGTCAAAAGTCTGTCAAACTCCATACAATAAACACCTGTTATGGTTATAGTTACGGTTAAAGTATTATGTTGCAACTCAGTTTGAGAAGTTTAGTCTCTACACTCAGTCACACAGAAAGCTGTAGGTATGCTGTTTTGCTCGACAAGATTGTAAGCCATATTAATATCGAATGATCATTTTATTGATGATCATGCCATTTTTCTTTGTTCTCTGTTACTTCGATAGTGAGTGTAGTGGAAGTTAATTAAATGAAAGAGTGGACTGTATACAATTAATTGTCTATTCGGTATAAATTAACAACGATATTGAGACCGTTTAGTGCAAAGTCGTTGAAGAGAGTGCGTCAGGATCGTCTTCTTCGATGTTCGCTCGCGAACCGAACATTGCTCGTTCGTTCGCCGAACGCTCGCCGCTCCCTCCGGTCACGCCGCCCGCGGGCAATGTCCGTGAGTAGACATTCTCTTTCTCTCACCCTAAAAATTCTCAAAAGGAAAGACTATTAGTAGCATTCTGAGTTGCTTGATTGAAACTGAAATTACCAATTGAAAGAATAAAGCTTTTAAAACTATTTTACAATCAAAATGTTTGCACGTACGCATATTGGGAGTAACGACCATAACCTTAAAATGAGACATAAATCGACACGACAGCTCTCGCGTCAACAGCCATCATCCAATCAGCTGGCTCAAGCAAAACAATTTGGTCCGCAACGAGGCGAAATTGCCGCGTGTCGAATGTCAATCACTTTACTCGCGAGTGGTGGCCGGCTCGCACCGGTTATTTGGGATCGGTATTGCGCCAACTTAGTCAGTTCAGAGCCAAAAGAAGTGAGTCAAGACAGTGAGAGCCAAAGCACACGATGCGTTGCGTTTGCAAGACTGGAAACGCGGCCGCAACAGCATATTACACTTGTCGGGACTATTCCCACTTCTCGTTCCCACCACTGCAACTCCTGTGTAGCCAGGATCTACAGCTTGACCGCCATAAAAACCCAACCAATGAAGGTCAAGTTTGTCCCGGGGGAAAGTTAAACTGTCATTGGACCCGCAACGAAATTAATCAGAAGAACATAGGAGGAGTTCGAAATTAAGTAAGCATATTATACTTGAAAATATCGACGGGTCCATCCAATGTCTAAGTAGCTCAGATGGAAGAGCAGTCGCTCGTCAAGCAAAAGGTCGTGGATTCAATTCCCGCCTTAGGTAGTTCGATTTTTTCAAGTTATCTAAATATTTATTATTTAGACTGGAAGAATCAGAAAGGGGCTATGAATAGTGGTGACATTAAATCAACAAAGAAATGTCATTTCTAAAGTACTGTATCAATGAGTTTACGCAGGGAGCTACGCTAGAGATGTCGCAAGAAATGTTGCTGACATACCCATCTCTAGGAATTGTAGGGATGTTCTTGGACTGTTCTGGCGCTATATAACTGCATACACCTTTAATATTGCAGGACTTATTGAAAAGGATGAAAAAATCTGCGATGTATTAAGTGTCCTGAAAAGATCCTAATCTAAATATAATAACTCAAAGGTGACTGACTAACTGACATAGTGATCTATCAACGCACAGCCCAAACCACTGGACGGATCGGGCTGAAATTTGGCATGCAGGTAGATGTTACGACGTAGGCATCCGCTAAGAAAGGATTTTACGAAACTCCACCCCTAAGGGGGTAAAACGGGATCCACGCGTACGAAGTCGCGGGCGGCCGCTAGTCTCGTCATAAAGCAATAATATAATCATTTGGTTGGACAAAACCATCATTATTAGTCGCGGAACGCAGTAAATTCGTACTATCCGCATAGCGCATTTTGTCTCGAGACAATCGTTGCGAACCTGGTGTCACGTCTGCCATGCCCATGACCCTGCGTTCGGGACAAAGTCCGCCTCTTGTGTTAGATCATTGGTTCCCAAAGTGGTAGGTGCAAAGACCTTTATAGGGGGGTGCGGGCCATCTGTGTATTTAAGAATTCTTCTTCTTTTCGTGTCGACAACAAACCTACACAGTGTCATCCCGAAACTCCGCCACAAGTGGCGTTGTCAGCAGCACTCATCAATTACTCCTAAGTGCAGTTGCTTGGGCACTCAGGGCACGACATCAGGTGCTTCATCGACTTAAGAATTAAAAACCTGCGACTGCTGAGAGAATGCATTCCAGACTGCTCGATAGATCGATCAATAAATAATCTTGACTGGAGGAGAATTTTTTGTATGGTCGAAAGGGGGCGCGTCTCAAATAAGTTTAGGTACCAATGTGTTAGATGCAGCAACTAGCGACGCTTGGTAAATATTTTCTTCTTCATTGGCTCGTGTCGGATGTCAATTGCTTTACACAGCTTGACAATTGCCATCCGGATCGTACCGGTTTGAATGAACGTCTAATAGACATTGATTGCAAAACATATTTTTTTTATGATTTGCTTGGTTTTGCTACACGTGATCGATTTTGCGATATAAAAATAAGTATCCGAAAAAGAGGCTCGCTTAGAATGGGCTTTATTACTTATCATCAAGTTTGAAAATTTTGTTTAGCGTTTTAAATAATGAAAACGTTGCACGCGAACGACAGAGTAAATAATATTAGTATAGTCAGCATTATTAAGTATTCTACTATTACACAGCTAATTTCACAAAGGCGTTCCCTATAATTTCCATTAATTATAATAGGACGTACATTAATAATGCCTAATTACAGGACAGTTACGAACGTCTATAGATTACACAGTGTGTTTTCACACGTTAGCCCTTTGAATATTTGATGGCACATAAGGCTTTGTCCACACTAACGCTTTGTTCTTCATCGACTGTTAAAACGCTTTTTTAACCGCCACCATGGTTTCATAGTTAGGCCATCTGTTCAAGATTCGGACGTCCCGGGTTCGATTACCAGCAGAGGCAAAATTTTTTTTTGGTTGGTAGTCAGTCTGTCGTCATAACAACAGTGTTCCGTGGGTTGGAGATAAGATAGACAGTTTCTCTGTGGTTGACGATTCCTGGTGAATTTCGCTTCCACTTTCGACCTGATAATTACTTTTCAAGAGCTTCCTCGAAAAGTTTTTAACTGCAAAACACGCGCCAACATTGTTTTATTTACATCTAATTCCGATCGCCATTAGATTCATTTATAGTACACTAGCTTTCCGCCCGCGGTTTCGCCCGCGTGGAATTTTGTCTGTCACAGAAAAACGTTATCGCGCGCGTCCCTGTTTCAAAAACCGGGATGAAAAATAACCTATGTCCTTTCTCGGGACTTAAACTATATCTATGCCAAATTTCATCAAGATCGGTTCAGTGGTTTAGGCATGAAAGCAAGACAGACAGCCAGACAGAGTTACTTTCGCATTTATAATATTAGTATAGATAGATAAAGACTTTTCCTGTGATGCGGATTTCAGCACACGTAAGGATTTGATCTGCCCGCATTTCATTATTTCGTACAATGTTTTTCCTATTAACGGCACGTGCTGTGCTGGCACGTTGGTGTGGACAAGGCCTAATTGTCGCGGCCTACCGGACCCCTCATTGGGAACCCCATATGCCGGCTCCCACCAGCAACCCTTGTTTACGCAGACGGTGGCTCAATAAGGGTGATCGTGGGGACAAGTGAAAAATGTTCCCAAATTGCTTGTTAATTGATTGGATGGGTAATTAAAAATTGGTTAAAAAGCAAACTGAGTAAATAATTTTGGTTACTGAAGGCTATTTTAAAGTTGTTGGTGTAAAAACTTGTCTTATCGACAAGAAAGTTGTTTAAATAAAATGTACAGCATCACAGATTTATAGTTTTGTTGCAAAATAACAAACAGATACACACTTTCTTTCTATAGTCATAGATGAACAAAAAAAAAAACCGGCCAAGTGCGAGTCGGGCTCGCGCACAAAGGGTTCCGTAGCAGCAAATATAACCAAAATTACAGTTAAATCAACCTATCTCAAAAACTATAAGAGATACTTTGATCAAACCAAAAATCGTTGAAAGAGTTAATTAGCATGCATCACCTCTATTTTTTTTAGAATTTTATACCCCGTAGTTATAAAAATAGAGGGGGGGGGACATACTTTTTACGACTTTGAGAGCTGATATCTCAAAAACCGTTCACTTTAAGAAAAATGTTTTTTAGAAAACTTTATATCATTTTAAAAGACCTTTCCATTGATACCCCACACGGGTATGTACATCGAAAAAAAAATTTTCATCCCTCAGTTACATGTATGGGGGGCCCCACCCCCAATTCTTTTTTTTACTATTTAGTGTCATAATTTTGTAGCGGTTCATACAACACATATTCCCATCAAATTTCATCACTGTAGTACTTATAGTTTCCGAGTAAATCGGCTGTGACAGACGGACAGACGGACAGACGGAC